CCTCTCGAGATCGATAAAACCGTAGATTAAATCACATATATTAGCGTCTCCACTCAACACATGCAATTCAACTCCAAATAGATTAAAAGATCTAAAATCCTCACAATTGCCTACTAATCTCTCGATTCAAGCAAGGAAATTATGTCAATTATTAAAGACCTAATATTGAACTCATCTCTCGAATTATGAACAATATTGTCAAACATGTAAAAGAATTGATCAAGTTCTAAACATGGAATAAGAACAAAATACTTGAATAGGGTTCAAAAGAAACAATCAATTATAATAAATCATCCAAAATCCCAACATATTAATCTACTACCATGTCTTAGAATCAATAAATCTAGCTACTCATGTTCGAATTAAAACACATAGACATATTAGAAATCGACATGATCAATAAAAGTTAAAGAGGAAAGAAGAAATAAAAACTAGGAATCTCGTCGATCTTTCAATCTCCTTGATCCCTTCGTAGTTGATCTTCTTTTTTCTCTTCAATTGCTTCTCTTGTGTGTTCTAGGGCTATTCTCCTTGTGTTCTCACGTTCTCCCCTTCAAAATAAGGTCAACATGCCTTTTTATATGTCCAAAACTCTTCTCCTTATCCAAAAAGGCAAACTTTAAAAATCTGTCTGCGCGCGCGACAAGGCCACTCTGCCCGTGTCATCATCCGTGTCGCAGCCCGTGTCAGCTCTAAGGCTTCGAAATCCTTCTGTTGAGGTGACATGGCCTCTGACACGGGCATGATGCCCGTGTCACTGCCCGTGTCACAAATCTGCTCTTTATTCTTCACTTGTTTCCCTCGTTTCTTCCATTTTTTTCATCTGTGCAACAATCTTTCATCATCCCGGGGGTCTTATGTACTCACCATGCACCTCCAATAGCCAAAAGCTCTACAAATATGTGAAAATATCTACAAAACAAGCACGTGTAATACCTTTCCAACAAATATAGAATTAAAGCACAAATATGCAATTTATACACCAATGATGCAACAAATAAGCTCTGGATACTATATGAATATGGTGTAAAATCACACATGAACATCCCCCCTACCAAAGGTCCCTAGAAGAAGAGAAGAAGTCGATGGGCTGCCATTAACCAGAACAAAACACATGCAGTGCTCCACACACGCCTCTACAAAACTGACCCACCGCTCTAGGAACCCCATCTGAACCAACACCTCCCTGAGAATTAGCCACTTGACCCTATCATACGTCTTAGCCATGTATAGCTTTAGCACAAGGTTCAAACTCGTGATCGATTCACATAGGAGATGTTTTGGATCATCTTCTAGGCCATAAGAATTGTACCACTAATGACCCGATCCTTGACGAAACCACTCTGGATTAGAGAGATTAAAGAAGGAAGAAGTGTGGCAAGACGCCAGTTTTAAATTTTGGAAATGAGATTGTTGGTCACATTACAGAGGATGATAGGCCTATAATCTGACCAATAGCTCAGGCATGGTGATTGAGACAACTAAGGTAACCGTGAAAGACAACATCTGGTGACTAGAGAAGAAATCCAACACACTCTCCTCAACTTCAGTTCAACAAGCTCCCAGCATACCTTATAGAGAAGATGCGAGAAACCATCCGGACCTGAGATGTTGGAATCAATCCTACAAATAGCCTCCCTAACCTCCTCCATGCTCGGGAGCTCGCAAAGGCCGACATGATCGACCGATTGAGAGATGGTGGGGAAAATTGGATCTATGAGGGACGCAAGCAAGTCCTTATCCGAGGTGAAGAGAGACTGAAAGTGCACCACGATTAACTCCCATATCTTGGACTCCTGATTCAGGGGTGACCCACCTCGATACGGTGGATATACCGCCCGACACATGTCTGCCTCACAAACGCTTGAAAGAACTTGGTATTTTGCTCCGCCTTAGCAGTCCAACGCACGGTAGCCTTTTGCTTTCAGAAATCCTCCTACATAATGAGTCGGAGATGGTACTCGGCATGGCAGTTGCGCATCGCGGTCCTATTCTTCAAAATGAGGTCCAGATCCTAAGCCCGTTCAGCATTCGCATACATACCATGAGCCGCAAAAAGGCGTTGAAAGAGGTCTCCAAAAATATCCCAATTCCACTGCCTCAGCCTGCGCCACAGTCTCTTGAGCTTGGCCCCCAAGTTGCACATCTCGAAGAGCCTAGTCAGTTGTAGCCAGCCAGGAGTCCCTGACAGTCTCATGGAAAGACTGGTAGCAAATCCACATGTTCTGGAATCGAAAAGAAGAGCAACGGGAGGCGCTCAAGAATCGACACCAGATGAGAAGATGAGCAGGGTTAGACTTGGTTCGAGGGAGGTACGTGACGGTCATAACAGTAAACACCCTCTCCCATGCCTCAGAGACTAAAGCACGGTCGAGCCTCTTCTTGATCTCCGTCTGGAGGGACCAGGGAAATTGTGTCAATGGTTTGACGCTCCTTTGAGATGCAGCGGTTTGTTGATTCGGAGATTGGCCTTGGCGGGTGGATTCGTGATTCCTCAGGGGGCTTGTTTAGCCTTTTTTTCATCTTGTCTGTCGGGCTCCTTTTCCCCTTTACTAGCGGAAGCTTTTAGCTCTTTGGTTTGGGTTGCGCGTTGCTGCAGATTTGGGCTTAAATATCCAGCTGGTCTTATCGGATACCATGGGAGTTGTTAGTGGCATCTCCCTCCGTCATGATCTTGACCCTCTGTTCGGGGTATTTGATGATATTATAGTCCTTTTGTCTCGTTTGAAGTGTGGTCGGTGTGAATATTTATTTGGGGATCAAAACGGAGTAGCTCACAACATAGCAAGGTGGGTAGTCTCTACGCATTCCTCTTGTGTTTGGAGTGATTTTCTCCCTATTTGGTTCCCCTCTTTTTTTCAGTTGTACCGGACTAATGTTCTCTTTTGGTTTTAAGTACACAAAAAAAAATAATAAGAAGAAGAAAGCACGTGAAGATAAAATAAATCCTAGACATTCTATTCGCATAGATTGAATGAAATTAAACTAACTAATAGAATTTACATGCAATAACGAAAAACTCAATTGAAAGCATAACCAAAGCACTAGGAAAATAGATTGAAAGGAGTACTACAATCCCATAAATAATAGCTAAACAAATGAGTACTAGTACAATGATGACTTAAATATGAGCATTCAATCCTATATAGTTGAGCTTGTAACGGAGTCCCGACTTTTAAAGAAACTAATAAATATGATAGATGGAGTCTTGGAGCTCAAAGTTTCCGTAAGGGGAATTACAAATTTAAAGAAAAAAATCTAAAAAGTAAAAAGTTCCAAACGAAGTAAAGATGATGAAAATGCGAAGGACAAATTGTTTTTATACTCCACAAGTGAAACATGCACTAAGAACAAAATGTCCTCTCTTAAAATCTTTAAGAAAATAAGAACATAAACTTTATTTTATTTTACCGTTAGGTAAAGTAAAATATATATGGGTCATTCTACCTTCAGGTACGTCTCGTAGTGTCTCGTACATACATGAATATGTATTCTTTCAAATTTTGGCATGTTTCCTTTTACTAATTATACAATTAAAAAAAGAAAATATATTTTATTTAATTAGTAAAATGCCCTCTCTTAAAATCTTTAAGATAATAAGATCATAAACTATATTTTATTTTATATGAAATGTTAAATATTCATATATTACAGAGAAAATTAAAAAAAAAAAAAAAAAA